ACTTAGCATACCCTCCTGGTGTTAAGGGAAGGAGAACTACTCTTGAGTGATAGACAACATGGCAAAATCATGATCTGGATTTTTGAGGAAAGTTTCAACATCAAATATTTTGTGTCTGTTCTTCTACTGTCTGCAGTATCTCTTTAATTAATGGGGTAAAATATTGAGATAAAGAACTTTGAGAAAATAGATCACTTTGACTTAAACAAAAGTAGTTTCAATAGCGTGTTACAAGCAGAATCCAGATTGTAGGAAGCTAAAGATGGAGTAGGAGGTAAGTGGAAATGATGTATGAAAAATATGTGTAAAAGAGTTTGGCAGTGAAAGGAAGGAGAACAAAAGTTATGTATTTTTCTTTTAAACATGAATCCCAAATAAGGCTCTTACAACAGACTTTTGGGTCTCTTCTGGGGACATAATTCACTCTGGGGGAAGTATTGGGATTTGGGAGACATTTCTTATGTGTTATAAGGATGATGGGACAGAATTTTTGAGGAACCACCATAGAAAATCTAGGATGTCTTGTTGCTGAATATTATCTGTCTAGAGAAAACAGGACTGTTACTGGAATACAGGATAGAGTATGAGAGTAAGGCCTCTTGGCTGTTAAGAATGGGTCAAAGGAAAGAGTCCAGTGGGTATAGCTTCAGAAAAGAAGCAGGATTCCTTTTCCTCTAACACTACAGTGAAGGCATGAAGGATGGATGAAGACAAAAGTGTGTTGGTGTGGGTAAATCAAACATTCTTAGATTTTTGACCTCAGAAAAATAGGACATGAAGTCAACTACTGAAACTGAGGTTTAGAGTGTAGAATGGAATTCCTTTCTTTGTTTATTCATCCACACATTCATTCAGCCAGTATGTTAAATACCTACCATAAACCGTGATAGGCCTGTGGGATTTATAAATGCATAGGTCCTTCCCTGGCCAAGAGTAGCCACTATTGTGTGTTTTGAAGGGAATCAAGGTCAAGGAACTGAAAGTAGTGCAGAAACAACAGAAGCTGGGCATTGCTAAATCAATATTGGGCCATCTAGGAACCAGATCCTAATGGGTAAGTCCCTCCCCAGGATTGGTGGAGGAGCTGGTATTGCTGGCACTATGGGAAGATCAGAGGAAAGGAGAATGGTGGAAGTGCCACTCAAAGTGTTAGCCATGGTGCTAAAGCTAGAAAGGAAGCTTTGTGTGACTAGAGAGAGAGGTGATGGTTTCATAGACAGAGAAAAGGTGAGATCTTACAGCTGGGTCTTGATGCTCAGTCTGGCATGTGGCATTGAGTGGGGATATATGTCTGATAGTGGGGTAAGATTTTGGCCTAATCCCTCCTGGGTATCCTTAGTAAAGTCATTTTCCCTGATCTATCTGAATCAACTGTTTCTACAGAGACAAATCCACCTGCAGCATGGGAAACTCTGTGTAATCAATTGATAGGTTACTCTCCTTGAAGTTTACCTGCATCCATATTTGCCAGAGGCTGCCTTCTGCACTACACTGGTCTATGCTGTCTTCCATAAACAACATCAGGAAAAAAAAAAAGTCTTTGAATTATCTATACAGGATTATGATGTGATGTGCATGGGCTTTGGGGAAGGTTCCAAAGTATTTGAACCTGGTTCAAAGTATTTGAACCTGAATTTGAATTTGAATACTGCTCCACTGCTTAAAATAGTAGATTGAATTTAAGCAAATCACTTTTCTATTCCGAGTTTTACTTTCCCAGTCTGTGAAATACATTCAGTAATGATTGTCTCCCTGGATTGTTGTGAGAATTCAGTGAGATTATAGAGGTAAAACAATTAACATAGTGCCTGCCTTAACTCAGTAGTCATGAAATATCACCCTTGTCTCCCTTTTATTAGAAATAAGCACATCATTGCTGTAAGATTTGAAGTCTCGCACAGGTGGCTTAGCTGACACCTGCTTCTTAAAGCCATACAGGGACTCACTATGCTTTCTCAATGTTATATGATGGAGCTTATCTGAAGTTACATCTCCTTCCCTTTTATCTCCCATCCTTTGTGGTCTTAGGAACAGGATGCCCCAATAGCAATATAGCTTAGTTAACATGTTTAAGACTCTTGGCTGCAATGGCAGGATCCCAACTTAACTAGCTTAAGCAAAATGCAGAACTTTATTGGCTCAGACAGCTGGGAACTTTGGTGCTTCAGGTATAGCTAGATCCACAAGGGTCAAACATACCCTATGGGTTCTTTCTCTCAATCTTTGATTCTTTCTGTTTTTCTCGTAGTATGGATATTGACCTCTGAGTCCCAGATTCACGGCATCCTAGCCTACAGACTCCAGCATGGGGATGGCGCAGGGAAGAAGACACTTTTTTCCTCCCAGTGTCTACATATACTTAGATTAACAATAGATTCTGATTGGCCCTACTTGGGTCCTATGCCCACCCTCAGAATAACTGTTCTTGTGATAGGAGTATGGGTGGATGGATGAGGAAATTGAGAATTCTAATCTGGCCCAGTCTGAGAGATATGCTCACTATGAGAAGGGTGGCAGGAACAGAGAAAAGTGATGGATAGCCGCACCAGGACTACAAAGAATAATGGAACAATGAGGGTGCTAAGTAGACAAATTATAACTCGCCAATAAATACAGCCACCCAACATCACTCCTCTGTTGCAGTCATGATGTGCAGTGTAACATTAGAACACTGTGGAGTGGCAAGCTGCACTCATGGGGAAGACAAACTAATGTGGCATACCTGGAGAGGTGTGGTACACAGTTGTAAGGTGAGACACTGTGGGGAGCTGAGGGACACTGTGACGAGGGACAGTGTGGCTAAACACATACCAGAGAGCTTAGCAGCACCTTCAGCTGCTGCTCCCCCTTCCCATCAGTCTCCCTTAACTGACAACTTCCTGGCCTGTGCTCTTTTTCTTGAATTGTACCTGGCCTCCCTCCACACACTTGGCTATTTCCTCACTGAGCACCTCCTTTCTCAAGCCAACCCCTGCAGCTCAGCAGTATTTCATATGCTATTTTGGGGGAAGATACAACACTGATCACACTGCACTAGGCACTTAATGAGAGCTTGATGGAGGAATGGGTGAGAATGCATTACTGACAAGGTGCATAGAGCAAATAACCGAACTCATCCTCACATTCAACAAACATTTATTAACTCAGAAATGAATAAGGCTTGGCCCCTGTTCTCAGGATGCTCGGTGCAGAGGGGCAGACAGTCACAAAGCTACAGTAGAATCACAGTAAAGTACAATCACTGAGGTATGGACAAAGTACTTTGGAGGCACAGTGAGAGGAATAGAGGGAGGGAGGAACAATTTTCCCATTTGTACCCGCCTAGAGCATTCAGGAAAGGTTACAGAGAAGTCATCGGTGAGTTGGATCTTGAAGGAGGAGTAAAAGCCACCAGGTGAATAGTTAAGGAAGGAACCCTGCAGGCTAGGGCTCAGAGATGTAGGTAAAGCCAGGTAAGTGGGGGTTCAGGGAGCCAGGCATGAGTGACAGAATAAGGAAATATAGAAGAAGGAATGAGCAGAAGGACTGCCAAGCACAAAACCATAGCTCTGCTATGGAAATTAAAGGTCTTATTTCCCCATGAGGTGGGTAGAGGGAAAGGAGAGGGTGAAAGGGCCTCAGATATGGGTCCCTCCCACTTCCTCAATAGGGCCATGGGGCTCAAACTCCAAAGCCAGAGCTTCACAGTTGTGATCTAACTTCTCTAAACCACCAAATTATCAAGAGCTCCCTTTCAGAAGCTAAAAATTTGTATGAATAATGCCATTCTAAATGGGAGAGGCCCTAATGTTTTCATTTTTCTTAGATGCAACTAATTCTGCCTAAGAAGTAGCTCTCTTTCCTTCAGGAAATCATATGGGTTATAGAATCTGAGAAGGGAAGGTAGGCTAGTGTTCATGCCTTGCAGCCATCTCATAAATGGAGGGTGAGATAATGGTTAAAGTGTCTATTTCTTTTGCGAAATGTACTGACATGTCAACATAAAGCTAAATATATATACTCACAAACCCCTTTGTCTTGTTATTCCTTTCTTTCTCCATTTACTTCTTTCATACCTGTCTGTATTTCAATATGCTTAAATAAAAAGAATAAAACCTTTTAAACTTTTCATTTTAGTACTTTTTTTCTATTTGAATGTTTTTAATTTTTTTACTTGTTAATTTTTGTGAATGTTTTTCTTTTAAAAAGTTTTAAACTTTTTAAACTTCTTCTTTAAACTTTAAACTCTTTAAACTTCTTTAAAGTTTTAAACTTCTATCCCTATTTAAATATTTAATGTTTTCATTTAAATCTCTCAAATTGAACTTATCTAAGGTTTATATTTTAAATTCTCTATTTTCCTCACTTTTCTTTTTTAATTTTTTCAAGTTTTTAAACAAATTTTGTTTTTGTCTTGAATTGTTTTAAACTTTCCTCTTTTAAAATTTTTCTCTAAACTTAAATTTGAATTTTCATTCCATTCTGTATTTTTTGAAAATATATTTCTTAATCATTAGTCATAATTATACTAACCTTTGATTTTTCAATACATATATTTTAACTTTAATTTTAAAAGACCTATTTACATTATTTTCTTTCATTTTAAACTTTTACTTTTTTAGATATTCCTTTGATTTTTTAATTTAAAAAAATTATTTCTTTCACATTTTTGTAAACTTTCATTTTTAACCTTATTCCTTGTTTTATTCACTTTACCTTTTGTAAATTTAAGAATTTCTGAATTTTCTTTGTTTTAAATATTATTTAATAATTTTGAATCTTTTTTAAATTGAAAAATTATTTTCAATTTTTAAAATATTTCTTTTTAAAATATCAACTTAAAATTTTCTCAACAATTAAAATGTTTTTTTAAACTTTAAAAATGTTTTTTTCTTTTTAAATGTTTTTCTCTTAAAGCTTTTAAATTTTTCTTTTAAAATATTATTTTTCTTTCAAACTATTTGGCTGGTCAGCCACAGCTGGAACACCATCGTGAGGTTTTTTTGCTGATGAAGGAACACCCCCTGACTTCCCATGATATTTCTGTAGAAACAAATGACATATAGAAGCATTAGAATATGTCTATTCCCACTCTCCCCACCTAGAGCATTCTCTTCATTTAATTATGCCTTATGTGACCATTTTCAACCTCTTCTCCCTCTCCCCATTTCTTAAGGCTGAATTGTCACTAGTTAGTATTCATTTTTTTCTTCCTACAGACTCATGGGCCATGGTAAAATAGGTTCTCTATTACCAAGGTTCCAGTTGTCATATAGGTATTGTCATTGTTCATTCCAAGTAGGTTTTTGTGTTACTTCAAGAGATGCTCATTGTTGTAAGGGTATTGTTGTCATTGTCCATTCCAGGTAAGTGTGCATGTTACTTCAGAATCCTTGCCTAATCATTTTTCACTTTTTTCTGTTAAGTGGTCTGGTAAGACTAGTCTTTCTCTAGGCCCTGTTTGTGGTAGAACAGTAAATACCCTTCACTGTAGAGTAAGTCCTCAATGGTAGCCTTGGTGATAATGGCATCATCACAGCTGAACCACTGGTCTTTTTGTTGCCGGATAAAACTGGTATAGTGGCCACTTTCCAAAGTTCCATGGTGATTAATTACTGCAAACAAGGAATACTTATTCTCGTTGGGAATACAATTTGTTGGTGGCTGGCCTTCTTTCATTCTGCTCTCTTTAGTAGAGGCCAAAAACGGAGTCATGTCCAGCTCCAAGGGAAAGGAGATAAAGGTATTAATCTTTCGCCTCTGTTTGCCTACATGTTCAAACCGCTTGAGATGAAAACAGGCCACAATGGGTAATTTTTTCATTGTGAGCTGTTTGGTAGACTCCTGGTAGCTTTGGCAACTACTGCATTTGATTTTGGCACTGCTTCCTAGGTGCTCTGGCCTTGTAAACCACTGTAGGCAGTCTGTGAGTGAGGGTATTCCTGGTATGTGGTCATTACTGCTCACTGTGCTGTCAGCCCTCTCTGGGCTCTGGGAACTAAATGTGGCACAAGAACCAGGCAAGTCCAAACTGATATCCCAGCATGGGTCTATGGTAGTGGAGACACTATGGCAGGCTTGACATGTGACATCTGATTGCAACCCACCTGTAAAGATTTGGTCTATGATGCAGTTACAGCAGTTGGGGTTATTGGACTCCTGCCCAACGCTATCATCTTTGCTGTGTCTATGTAGCACATCTAGCATCGCAATAAGGAATTCATGGGCATCTTGTTGCCTGTACCCTGCTAAATGTTCTGCATGAATCCATATCAGGTGCAGTAACTTATAGGGAATGTGAGGAGTTCGGCTCCCAGAGTACATAGCATGAAAAAGCGAAGACATTTCGCATACCAGACACAAGCTGGGGCTTGTCATTATACATTTGTGCTTGTCAGAGAGGAAGAAATCTTTTAGTAGAGGAATATGGGTAAGGGCCTGGACAATACAGTTCATAAAACAGGTGTTACCAAGATTGATTAGCCCTCTCAGGCCTACAGTATAGACTGACTTTTTTCTCCTCTTTTTCTTGGGTTTCACCAATTTTGGTTTCTCTTCCTTTGTCTCACAGGTTGATTGCTTCTCTTCAACCCCTGATGTCATAAACTGTTGATGAGAAACGTCTGTTGAGGTGGAAGATAATAATTTCAAAATTTTCTCTTTTGTTTCTTTGGCAATCTGTTCTATGTCTTTGTCATACACATAATCCTTACACATAAAGCAATATATAACCCCATGAGAGAGGTCTACAGCTAAATTGTGCTGTTTTGCTTCTGAATGTTTGTGAATATGTTTCTCAGTAAAGCAGCCAAAAAAGACACAGGAGAGACAAGAGTGGAGTCTGTTCATATGAGTACTACATACATGACAGATGCATGACTTTGCCTTACGTTTCCAAGTCTTCGGGGTTCCACTCCAAACAAAACGCTGGTAGATGAGCCTCAAGTTCTTCCGCCAGTTCTTAGCTACTTTAAAGCTCTCCACATGAGAGCATCCTGTGGGACCCTGCTCAAACTCTACCTCCAGCAGCCAGTCCTCCAATCCGCCTTGATCCCCAGAGCCGCCTCGGTCACCAAAGAAGCTTCTCCGCCTCTGGAGCCTGGACCCTGGCCGGGATCTGCGCCGGGACCCGCGCCAGGTCCGGGGCCTCGGTGTGGGAGGGGGCGGGGGCTGGGCTGGAGGCGGAGGCGGGGCCAAGAGCCCCGGCGGGACTCTGGAGCTGGCCGGGGACTGGGGCCGAGGGCGGGGTTTGCGGCGCGGCCAAACGGGCGAGGAGCTGCTGTGACAGCTAGGGGGGATTGAAGGAAGCACCTTCTCATCGCTGCCGCTGCCGCTCCACGTCAAGTTCTCCTCTGGCGCCAGCTTACTTTGCTGTAATGGCTCCAGCTTCATCTCCTCAGCTTCCCGGCCCGTATACGCCTCCGCGGTCCCCACCGCCGCCTGCTCTATTTCCCCCGCCTTCTCAGCCGCCTCCTCGGGCAAGGCTCCTCCCCTACCTCCCAGGCTCCAGCGGGCCGCGGAGCCGGAGGACAAGGAAGTTTCTCGAACCTGGGCCATCCGCTCACTGCTCGGCCTGAGGAGAAAGGCGTCTGGAAACAAACTGCGACTGTAGATGGAATGAGACAGGGGCTTCTGTGAACGATATGCCCAGCGTCATGGCCGCGGTGCGCCGTTAGTGCCCCCGGGACCCCTCCCACCGGTCCTGGAGCTCAGCCAGCAGCTGCTGCGGGCTCCACCCACTCAACTGAGAGGCTCCCGGAGCTGGTGTGAAAACAGAGGCGGTTATCCGGTTTAAAGGCGATCGGACCATGGGGGGGCGGGGAGACTAGGAAGAGGGGGGAAAGGGAGGGAGGGGAGAGATGGCTTTAGCTTTGGAGTGGAAAGGATAGAAACTTCTTTAAAAAAGGCGCCACCCTCTGATTGCCTTTTCTGCGCCTTGCGCAGACTCGCTTTGGTACAGCTTCCTCTGACGTTCTTTCCTTGTATCCTAAAAAACATTTGGGTCAACATTTTATCTTAAAAATGGCTGAATGGAGGCCGCCTTTGGAAAATGGACTCAGGGGAAGAAAGTGTCCCCCGGCTCCTACCTTACCTACGTCCCCGTGACCCGTTGTGTTCCACCCTATGCAGCTGCCCCAAGCTCACTTCCAGTTCGCCTGTTCTTGCGCCCTCTCACGCTCTTTCCAGCTTGTGCTCTCACACTCCTTTGCTTGCTTCTGCGCCCTCATTTCCTATGATTTGTCCTAGAAATTGGACTGCTACTTCCTGATCCCTCTACACGTTCGCCATTCCCAAGGCCATCCTCATCCTCAATGCGCGACCACCAAAGTCCCTGCTCCCTTTGCCCCCTCGCCCCACTCAACGCCCACAGCCCCCTGTTTCTTTTTAAAAGGTCTGTGTTACCTTAGGCCCCAGGCGCGTGATATAGAACGTCAGCAACTGCTGCTGTCCAGGCGCTCCTCAGCCAGCCTTCTCTCCTGACCTCTCCTCAGGGCTGGTCACAAGGGGGCCGCCCCCTGGCCCCTCCCCTCTCTACGTGCAGGGCCCCCAACCCCGGATTCTGCCCTCCTGCAGTGATGAATGGCACTGCTGTCCCGCATGCAGACAAACCGCCTCCTGAAACAGACTTTGCTGGAGGCTACAACAGCTACACATTCTAGAGAAAGCCCCTGGAATGGAGGCTAGGGTCTCACCTGGCTGCAGGCCCACTCTCCACAGAAAAAGCTTCATCCGGATGGGGGTAGAGGCTTCATGGATGGGAACTCTCTGTCAAGAATCCCTCAGGGAGGGATCTCTGGGAGTTAAGTAGAGAGAGGGTTGTTATCCTGGAGTGAGGGGGAGAAGAAGCACAAGCAAGGGCTTCAGGCTCAAACACACCTGAGCCCGGACTTGCTGGCTGTGTGACCTCAGATAAGAGGCTTCCCCCCTCTGAACCTTAGTTGAGTCATCTTTTAGACAAGAATGGAAATAATAATCCTAATCTGGTATGAACACTAAATCATGGAATATATAAAGTAAAAGATCTTTATGGCAAGCTTTATTCCTTACACCACTCCTCAGTCCCCACCTTAAAATCAGCATCTAACACAATGCCTGATGCATAGAGCAGAGGAGGGGAGAACATTTTTCTTTTTCAAAGGTCTCTCAAACTTCTTGCTCAGATCACCTGATCATCCCTCCTACACAGTTCATGTATAGGAACATGCATTTGAGAAACACACATCAATCCCTTAGCTACAGTGCTAGAATGTGTGTAAGAATCAAGGAGTATAACAATTTCTGTCCTCAAGAAGGTCATAGGCCAGGAGAATTTTCCTTCCCTTTGAAAGATCCAGCATTCATGGCCACGAGGACTACGAAAACCATCTCCTTGGCTTGTTGCCTTTCCTGTCCAATCCCAAGAATGTTACTGCTAATAGGTGGAAACGATTAGTGCTACATTAATTTCACTGGGAAATTCATGCACCTCCCCTCAAAACCTCAAGATTAGGGTTCAGCTCTCTCAGGCTCACAAGCAGCAAGCAGCAAGTAGATGCCTCCCCACAATGGATGTCAGTGATTTTAAGACTTGGAATACATTTGTCCACATCTCAGTCACCTCAAAGTACCTGGAAGGAAAGCCCTTTGGAATTGTATATTGATCTAAGCAGAAAAAAAGCAGTTGTTTTTATTTGTTTATTCATTCATTTAACCTCTAGGGAAGGGGATTCACTCAGCCACAGGTAGCAAAAGAGGTGATCCTCTTGGGTTAGCCAACCTAGAAGACAACGCTGACTCAGTCGTTTGCTAGCTAGCTGTGCCACCAGTGGTGTGGATCCTAGCTTCTCTGAGACTGCCTTACATCTTTTATGCAGGCAGGCAGGGCACAATTTACAAGTGCTTCTGTCTTCTGAGCCTCCATTTTGTCATGTATGACATCAGAATCATGAGAATGCCAGCTCCACCTAGAATCATTTACTCAGCAGATATGTAAAGGGCACCTACTACTGTGCCAGGGGCTCTAAACACAAAACCAAACAAAACTGGGGGAAAAGGCAATTAAATCAGAGTCCCTGCCTGAGGTCCACATCAGTAAATGCACAGGCATGTGCTGTGAAGGTTAATGTTAATTGATAAATACCTCCTGAAGAGCCCTTATAATCAGTGACTCAAAAAGTTTCCGAACACAATTGTTACCGAGCCAGACATGCCTCTTAAACTGGCCTGTACTCAATCATGACCAAACTATTTCTCTATCAATAATGGTCCCATCAGAAAACCTCAGACCCCATGCCACATAGTTTTTGTCAAAATTGGAGTGAATGGGTCTGGATGGTTGGGACCTATCTGGAGTTCACTGGTTCTCCAAAAATGAAGCTGCAATCTGAATCTCCTGGTGTACCTAATAAAACAGATTGCTAGGCCCCACTAACAGAGTTTCTAATTCAGGGGGTTGGGGTGAGGCCCAATAATTTAGGTTTCTAACACTTTACCAGCTAATGAGGATGCTGCTGGAACAGAGACCACACCATGAGCACCGGGTACTGAGGGTTAATGTACAAAGAGGTCAAGGCAACTTGACTTTACTAGCAGGAGCCATTTCTGATGGAACTGGTTTCCCAGGGCTGTTTGTCTTGACATCTCTCAGAGATTTCTAGGTGTAGCCGGTGCTGGGGTACTCTGAGTGTGGAGTGGTTTAGGGAAAAGCAGGATCAGGAAAGAGCCTGCTTCTGTGCTCTTGGTTCCTCAGGGCCTTTAAAACCAGCCCCTGACACCTCCCAACCTGGGCCTCTTCCCCTCAGTGACCTCACTGTTCTGAGGCCAGCATCCCAAAAGGCAGACTTGCAGCCACTGCCTACCCCTGACCAGGGCTGCATGGAGAGTGCCATGGACTGGCCTCTAGTCCTTTGGGGACCCACATTGCCTTTCCAGCCTCCTACTCTCACCCTCCACCCCCTACTGATTGTATCCCTTCTTCTGTTGCTTCATTGCTTCCTGTGCCCAGCTCCCTCCTGGTCTGCCTCTAGCCTTCTGAAGCAACAGCCTCAGACACCACTGCAGTGTGCCCTCTCCTGCTCACCGTCCCACGGTGAGTCCATGTGCTCCCTGGGTTACAACTGAAACTGCCCAACTGACTGCAACTCCCCCAGCCCCAAGTATGTCCAACCTCTGCCCTTTGAGGCTCTGGCGCTTCAACCACAGAAGCCGCTGCATCGTCCCTGTACATGAGACAACTATGTGAAAACACCCAGCCTGTCAGCCCATGGCCTGCCCTTTCCCCTTGGCTTCTCATTTTAACACATCTCCTAGAGTAGAGATTCTCAGCCTTTTGGTGTCTTGGATCCCTATGGCAGCCTTAAGACCATAATATATTTTTTTAGCCTAAATGTATATGATTAAATATGTGGGGCTGTAAATAATTCATTATGTGGAAATGCCATTTCGTGTTTTTAAGAAAGATATTGTGATATGAAAATGTATGTGTTTCTTTATGAAACATTTAAGAAAACAGTATTAAAAGGTGGGTATAATGACTACCATAACTTCAGAGTAGTGGTGAGCATAGTGATACTTTGAGAAATGTAACATGATATGAAAATTTTTATTGGTGTCACAGTCACATGTACTACTGATGTTAAGGGAGTTTCATGCCTCAGTTCTTAGCTTTAGGACATGTTCGTTTTAAGCTAGAGGTGGATGAAAGTAAAGACTCAGGTCTTTTCCCCACCCACGTGCACAGACCTCTGAATTCCAATCGCTGACCACTCTTGCTTCACAGTGCCCTGAGCACTTTGCCTGTGAGTGGGCCAACAAATTATGAAACATTTATTATGTGTATGGTATGTGGTCTTTTCTCTATACACATTAAATTGTACCCTTATACCAGCTGTGCAAGGTAGGTATTGAATCAGGACCTTACAGCTCAGGAAACTGAGGTGCCATGTTAAATTCACCCATGACTACACCGATGAGAAGCAGGAGAGCTGGCCCTGGAGCCTCCAGAGCCTCCAGAACTTTTGACACAGTGCTACATTGTGTCCCCTTATCTTCTCTTTGGTTCCGGTCTTTGGAGGGTGGAATGTATAATAGTTGGGGTGTGTGGCTCAGTTCACTCTGTTTCCACACAATTCTGGGTAAATTATGGAGCACTTATGTGAGAGGACCATTCAGAGAGGAAGCCAACAGATTCACGACCCCGGTTGGCGTGGGGTGACGATGCTGGCACTGAGTCTAAACCTTGGGGGTCTGCCTATGCAGAAGTTTTCAAAGAGGCGCTTGCCTGGGGCTCAGCAGAAGCGCACGAGTGTGCACTTGATATTAACACAGTACACCCCAGTAACCGTAACAGTTTTTGAAAATGGAAATATTTTCATAACAAGAAGGAAATGTAGTAAATAGTACCCCTGAGAGACGGTAAGAGGAATGATACACATTTTCACATAAAGTCGTTAGAGGTCATGGTGACCCCTGATAAACGGGCCTCCTCTTTATGTAGTGATATCTGAGAAACATGCACAGCACTCACGGACTGCAGGTTTGCCCTGTCTCTTGGCAGCCCGTGGGCTGGGTTTTCCATTCTTCCTGAAGTACTCAGTGCTTTAGAACAAGTCGCTGCTCCGCCTTTATCCTTGAATGACATAATTGCTACTGCTACTGAATACAATGGTTTCGAATGGTTTTTACTTGATTGTTTTCTTTCCATCCTTGTTATTTCTGGGGGGAGTCTTCAATGTGTACAATAGTTCAGTATCTAAAATGTTAACGCTTTAAAATAAACAAAATCAAAGACGTCCAGAATCCACAGACAGCCCAGTTTGCATAATGGTCTCAACTTTTATGGTAAATATAAGAAACATGAACCTTCTGAATCTCTGGGAGAATGAAATAAATACAATAATTATGAGAAACTGTAGCCATCTTAGAGTATTGTTTAAAAAAAAAGGAAAAGGAAAAGGAAAGAAAACAAGCAAACAAAAAAACACCCCAGAATATTCTGTATCAGCTTTTGAACAGTGTAAGTATCTGTAAAAAGTAGGACAACTTATATTTCTTAGATGAAAATCCATCTGATGATTTAATTTTAAGAATGAGTGGTGGTTTATATTATGTAGCAGAAATTTTTTATGTTTACACTGTTGAATAGACAATATGCACAAGGTAGAAAGATCAAAAAGTACAGAACTGCATATAGTCACATGTCTCCCTCCCTCTCCTGTCGTGGCCTCCAGCTTCTTCCTGCCCGAGTCAGCCACTGTTCCCAGCTTCATGTGTATCCTTCCAGAATTATTCCATGGAAAGACATATCTAGACGGGTACCGTCTAATTTTTTTTAACGCAAATGACAGCAATAATACAAACATCATGCCTCCCAGTGTTTATTAAACTAACAATATATCCTAG